GATGACTGGCAGTCAACAGTTCGTCCTCAGACTACTCCTCTGAACGAAAGTCCTTTAGTCGGTGTCTCTCGGGAAGCCGTTCCACCGCCAAAGCTGCGGGCGGGGCGGGGCGAAGCGGTGCGGGGCGGGGCGGGGCGGGGCGGGGCGGGGCGGCGCGGGGTGGGGCGGGGCGTCGCGGGGCGGGGCGGGGCGGGGCTGGGCGGGGCGGGGTGGGGTGGGGCAGGGCGGGGCGAGGCGGGGTGGGGCGGGGCTGGGCGGGGCGGGGTGGGGTGGGGCGGGGCGGGGCCGCGCAGGGCGGGGCAGGGCGGGGCGGGGCGGGGCGGGGGCGGGGCGTCGCGGGGCGGGGCGGGGCGGGGCGGGGCTGGGCGGGGCGGGGTGGGGTGGGGCGGGGCGGGGCGGGGCAGGGCGGGGCAGGGCGGGGCGGGGCGTGAGCCGTGCCCAGTGCGCCAACAGGTGGCTAAAACTCTAGACGCGTTTCGAGCTCCAGAGTCGCTAAATGGGACTTGTACCGAACGAGTGACCCTATCGATGGTGCGAGAGAGACAGAGCGACCAAGACGGCCCTGCCAACTGTGTTGAACAGGATGCACTGCTTTCGTTACTGCGTCTCTCTCGCACCAACAGGCAACCCCTCGTGAGTGCGAGAGAGACGGAGCGACGAGAAGGGCCCCGCAACACACGGCAGACAGCGCGGAGGAAACGGCGAACACGGCGAGGCGTGCGATTGCCGCCAGGTTATCGCGGGGTCCTCCGGTGCTGCCCCCGCTGTAACATCTCTGTCCGCGGTCGCGCTGCGGGTAGGGCGGGGCGGAGCGGGGCGGGGCGGGGCGAGGCAAAGCGGGGAGGGGGGGGACGGGGTAGGGCGTGGTGGGGCGGAGCGGGGCGGGGCGGGGCGAGGCGGGGCAGGGCGGGGCAGGGCAGGGCGGGGCGGGGTGGGGCGGGGCGGGACGGGGTAGGGCGGGGCGGGTCGGGGCGGGGCGGGGCTGGGCGGGGTGGGGCGGGGCCCTTGCGCAGTGTGCCAGCAAGTGTCCCAAACTCTAGACGCGTTTTGAGCACCAGAGTCGCTAAATGGGACTCGAACCGAACGTGTGACCCCATCGATGGATAGCTCACCGAACAAGTTGGACGACAATTCAATTTAAGCCCCCCCCCTCCCCGCCGCGGGGTCACGCAGGGTCTCGCGGGGGCCCCGAGTGACACTTGATGACTGGCAGTCCAACAGTTCGTCCTCAGACTACTCCTCTGAACGAAAGTCCTTTAGTCGGTGTCTCTCGGGAAGCCGTTCCACCGCCAAAGCTGCCCATTTTCACCATTTTCCACGGACATTTTCGGCTGTTGAAAAAGGAAATTTCAACATTTTGATCATACGAACTTGTTCACTCGTCCTTCTCCTTTTAGAAAAGCCTTTCCTCGATCCCTTCTCTGCACAGGTTTGTGAGCTGTCGTGCGGGGAACGTGGCTCACTTCGGGACGAACAGCTCGGCCGGGGAAAGAGGCAATGACAAGTAACGCATTCTCCCCCCGCCTTTGCCGTGCCCGAGCTGTCCGTCCCGAAAGTGAGCCATGTTTTCCGGGCGACAGCTCCGAAATTTGTGAAGGTATAGAATCAAGAAAGAGCTTGTCTGAAAGTGGAAGGTCCAATCAATAAGTTCGTTTGATCAAAATGTTCAAATTTTCCTCGCCAAAGGCAGCAAATGCCTGTTAAAAATGGTGAAAATGGGCCACTTCGTTGGTAGGATGGCTCCCCGAGGGACTCCGAGTGGTGGAGTTTTGTTCAGAAAGGACGGCTTGTTAAACTGGCCGACGAAGCTCCAATCAACAAGTGTCCCTCGAGCCCCCGCGAGCCCCCGCGTGACCTCGCTTTGGCCGTTTGAAATTTTAACTGTCCCGCCAACTCGCGGGCAGTCT